ACAGCTGTATAAAGTCTATTATTATACTCTGCATTCTCCAATCTTTATCAATAAAATAGGCAGTTATATCTAAAAATTCTTTCATTGAAACTGATATCCAAATATCAAGTGTAAATGAAATACGACTTTCTATTTCTTGCAATATCTTTTGAATTTTTTTTTTGATCATTTAAATAAAAATCTATTATATAGGTCTTAATAGAAGTAGCCAATGGTATTTTTGTATCTGGTTGCTAATGTTTGTACGAAAGCAAGAAAAGTAGTTCTTGTACAACTGTAAAAGGTTGCTAGTTGATAATAATCCATTGAACAAGTTTTTTTTTTATTTTTGTTGAATCATATGTCCACTATATATAAATACAAAAAATTAATGGCATTTTTTTAAAAAATTTAAAAATTATTTAAAATTATCTTTGTTTTAAAAAAATCATCAATTTCATTGTTACCAGTTATTATATCTAATTTTGTTGGGTGAGTTTTTTCGAGATGTTTCATTAGATTAGAAGTACTGTCTCCACTACAAGTATATATCGTCCTGCAATATTTACAAATAACCTTTTTGTTCTCTTTAAAACTTGTACTCCTTATGAAGTGTTCCCATACTTTACTTCTAGAAATTGTTGAGATAACTGAGGTCAATTCTGATGGATTGCTTGTGTTAGCATTTTTAATATTGATATTGTCATGGCTAGCTAAACTGCACTTTTATCATATGCAAACTATGTACTATCAAATGAGTTTTCGTATTCCATTTTTAAAAGAAATAAATTAAGCAAAAGCAAAAGATACGATGAAAGTAATTAAGCAGTAAAACTATAATATCAAAAAGAAATAGTTAAAAAATTATCAAGAAGAGCAAGTATTGAATTTTTTTTAACTTGCCTTTTATATTATTTTTTAAAAAAAAAACTATTTTAATTTTCTAGATAGTCTAATTTTAATTTCCTAGATAGTTCAATTTTAATTTCCTAAATAGTTTGATTTAATTTTCTAGATAGTTCGATTTAAATAAAATTTAATAATTATATAACAATTTATGTGGGCTGGTGCATATCAATTTGAATTATATTGGGTTTGATCCAAATCTGATTTGAATCTGATCTGATTTAATTCGAATCCAATTGGAATCTGATAAATTTGGTAAAATTAAAAATTCAATTTGATCTGAATCTAATCAGATTAAAAATTTTGAAATTTGATTTGATCTGATTTGTATCTGATTCACGAATCAATCGAATTTGGATCAAAATTGTGAACACTACCTTGTACTATTTGTTGATTTATAAACCTTTAGATAGTAAAGATAATTACTTATCCTAGTTGTCTCTAAAACTTATCTTGCTTTAATAAAGTTTCAGAACTGGTGCAGAAATAAGCTAGCACTTCAAAAAATATATATACAGTATATATATATTGTTTATAAACTGAAAACAAATTAATTGTTTCTCAGATTTATGGGTCAATAGTATAGTAGTAGTGCTTTCAGGTTGCAATTGTAAGGTCTTGAGTTCAATATCACATAAAAGCCATATGAAAAAATACCATACACAATGAAAAAATCCATTGGATGACAAATCAGTATTTGTTATTGAGCATAGTTCTAGCTAACTTACTGATATCTAAAATAAATATTCACCATAACACAATATCACCTATAGCTAATCTTTATATTAGGCTGATCTATAAGTATTATAGATAATTAGTATCTTATTATTACCCTGATAAGGTAGAGGAGGATGGGACTGATCTTGTAGTCAACTGGAATAAAAACTAAATTGCCAAAAAACTCTCTACTGATCTTACCAACTGGAAAAAACTATCAAGTCAAAAAGGTTGAAGTTTTGAAATAGAATAAACATTATATCAGTGGGATACTTAAAAGCATAACCAATTTAGTGACTAATATTCATTAGGAAATCTTGATCAAAGAAGGAATTTGTTAGATCATATTGAAGAATCAAATTCTGATTCAGGTTATAATATACAGTACAATGGTTTGACAACTAGATTACATTATAAAATTGTTTTAGGAAAAATTAAAATAATGTTATGCACTCTCCCTTAAATAGACTTGATCAGGTCTGAACTAGTTTGTACATAGTATATAATATATTTATCATGTAATAAGCATATATATAAACTTTATTTCATAGTAAATAAAGAGTATTGGATTCTTTAATCACTCACAAAAAAAATGTTTGCAAGAAGTTTTTATATTTATTAACTAATATTGTGATAAAAATAGTCTCTAATACCATTGTATAATTATTTTTAGTCACAATATTTATTATATTTCCATTTTTATCTATTTATATATTTATAGTTATTTCTTTGATATTCTTTGATATTCTTATTGATACTTAATTAATGTAGATCACTTTATTAAATATAATATGTGACATAATTTATCGTAGATCTGATAATCCAAGAGATTCAAGTGACACATTTTTACAAGTATATATGGTTGCTTCCAAAAGTTTGAGTCCGCCTACTATGTTTTTATTATAAATTTCAACTTTGACAATTTTTAAATCATTAACTATGCAGTCAAAAATCATAAAAATTATATACTGTATATTATGTCTTAATACTTATTCTATTTCTTATATTTTTTAAAAAAATTTTTTATTAATACACTCTAAAGTTTTACAAAAAAAAAAAACTCTTTCCCGTAACCAACCAGATCCTTAAAAATTTCCTTTTTTGAAAACTTTTAAGATGAAAGGCAAAGAAAGATAACAAGTCACAATAGAAGTACCAGAGCTTCCAACAACCTTCCTACAATTACAGAGTGCACCTTGAGATACGACAAAAGAGCTGGCAAAGAACTGGGCCTGGCTAGAACCCAACCATATGCAAAGAAATCCATCATGACAGCAGCCAAGAAGCCCACACAATCAACGGCAACCACTATTTCCAACAATGACCATCAACCTAACAACAACACAACCAGCACTTCCACACAACAAGAAACAATGCTTCAAGAAAATCATCAACAAAAGATAAAACATTCACCTCAACAAAGCCAAGAATCAGAGGCATCAAACTCTTCATAAAGTGACATAGTAGAAACACAACTCAACACAATCAATGAACAGAGTAAGCAACAAGAAAAACACTACAGAAGAATCACTATCCAGAAACCACAAACAGCTCGAAATAACAGCCCAGATGAAGAGATGGAAACTGAAAAGGAAAACAACTCAGAACAAAAGTGGTTTACTATTTTCAAAGGCAAAAATAGAGAAATCAACAACCCTCAGGGCAGACCAAGACCCAAATTACCATTTGACTGAACAATCCAATATGGATGAGAATGATATAAGGTTGGCATTCCAGCAAAACTAATCAAAGGAAAAACTACACACCAAAAACTAGAACACATCATCCTAGCCCTCAACTCCCCTGAAGGACTTCTGACAGTACGTAGCGAAGGGAAAAAAGAAGACATGCAAATCATTGCCATCTTTGCAGATCAACATGCAGCAGAACATGCAACGACCATAGAGCTCCCAGAAATGGACAACAACAGGCTGACACATATGGAAACCGGCTATCAACAAATCAATAAAGAAAACTCCATAGTAGTGTGGGACATCCTCTTGAACACAAGACTCATAGAAGTCAAACAAGCCTTCGCCAAACATAGTCAAATCCAAGGCATCACTATGAAAACCCAAAACTTGTGGCAATGTGCCACAATCACTTTCAAAGATCAAGAACTCAAACATAAACTAGTAAATGTCAGAAGCATCCTAATCAAAAAAGACTCAGTAAGAATCAACGATGCAGAATGGACACTTCAACAAATGAAACAAAGACATGAGATCGCTGTCAAACTAATGAATCTCACTCCCAACACATCAGCATGGGATATCAAAAACATCCTCATTCAATACAAAGGACGCACATGATACATCCCAAGGGCAGCAAACAAGAGTTACAAATCCAAAAAATTTGCAGTCATCAGCTTCGAAACACAAGAAAACCTTTTAACAGCAGCACAAACACAATACCAACAAGGAGAAACAATCCTCTTATTCATCCCAATCTCAACAAAACTATGTGCAATATGCGACGCACCTTCTTACCTAGCCAAAAACTGCCCCACCAAGAAAGGTGCCTCCAATGGAACACTTACAACAAAAACCAGGCAACTAAATTTAGAGACCTTTACAACAAATTCAGACCGGAAAAAACTCTATCAATTCACAACATCAACAAACCAAGAACATCCAAAATATCAAAAGCAGGGACATATGCAATAGCAGTTTCCCGAACAACCAAACCTAAACAGGAGAACTCAACAATCCTCGAAGACATTGATACTATCCTCAGAGAAATTCAGCAACAACTGAATACTATCAAATATCAAGTGGCAGAACTGAATGAGCATATCATCAACCTGGAATATTATGATAAAGAATATTACAAATCAATAGATAGTGAACAAACACCAACATCGCAAGACTCAATACCCATATCACAATCCAACAGCACACAATCCACACCTGAAGATAGCTTTAAAGATCCCAGAAATATATAAACACAACTCTTCTCCTCTATCAATAGGATGCAAGACAAAATGAATCAAATTTTCATCACAATGGATGCTCTAGCCCAGACCTCAACCAAGACTCCTGACAATCAATAACTATGGGAAATACACACAGCAATTCCAATGATAATAGTGAACACATAAATACAAACATAATACATAACCACCAAACCAACAACTCCAACAATCCCTCACTCAGAACACAACAACTCGTAACAAATCCATTATAGTCAGACTCAAACTCCACAACAGATGAATACACTGATACATCACCACCAATATCCTATGACAACACTAAATCTTCACAAGA